GGCTAGTCTTAGCATACTTATTCTGCTTGCTATTCCTATATTCTAGTCTCTGCCTTGTTATCTCCACTATATCCCCTCCCACTCTCCTGCTTCCCTAGTCCTGGTTATGTCTGGTCTGCGATCCATGCTCAGTTTGTTTTCTCTCTCTGCACTGAAATATTCCAGATGCCTCTGGCTGTTCTCTTATATCTACAGTAAGAACCTTAACCATATCAGAATGGTCACGTCAGCAGTTTCCTTACTGTGCCCCCACCTTGTATACAACCATATGGGCTTCAGAAATTGAATTCAGGTCATCAGGCTTGGTGGCAAGCACCTTTACCCACTGAAGCATCTTACTGGCCACATATGGCCGTGTGTATGTGTGTGTGTACATAAAGAGACGCTTCCTATGTGCATAGTAACTTATTAAAATTGACTTAATATTTCCTTTAAAAATAAATTTCCATTAGATTTTTTTCTTAACATAGATAATCCTACCATCTGCCAGTAAGTCTTCCTGCTGTCCAATCTCTATGGCTTTTATTTAGATCTCTTGTGTAGTAGCTAGGACTTCCAGTCTAACACTGAACAGAAATGGTAAAAGTAGATATGATACTTTCTGATCTTTGGGAGAAAGTATTCTATATCTTTCATCAGAATGATGCTAACTACAAGTTTTTCATTCTATTACTTTTAAATTTTATGTGTATGGGTATTTTGCCTATACATGTCTCTGTGCAACACGTGTGTTCCTGGTGACCTGGGACTGGAATTATAGATGGTTGTGAGCCACCATGTGGTTACTGGGACTCAAAACCAAGTCCTCTGAAGAGCCGCTAGTGCTCTTAACCATTGAACCATCGATTCAGCCCTCATTTTGCTATTTTTCATCCATTCATGGACTGGAAATAAAATGTCTTAACTGGATAAAGGTCATCATCAAAAATCTGCAGTAACCTATGTTTAATGGTGAAAATGAAAAAAAAAAAAACTTCCTTTTAAATAAAGATGCAGTTAAAAGGGCTGGGGAGATGGCTCAGTTGATACAGTGCTTACCACACAAGCACTTGAATCTGAACCTCTAGTACCTACTGTAATCCAGGCATGCTGGAATGCATCCATACCCCTAGCATAGAGTTGGGCTGCAGGGCAGGAGGACAGAGACAAGAGGATCCCTGGAGCTGTGAGGGGGGAAGCCAGTGAGCTAATCAGTGAGCTACAGATTTAGTGAGAGTCTGTCTCAAAAAGAAAACAATAAAGAAACCGAATGTTGACCTCTGACCCCCAAATGCATGTATACAAGTGCTTGTGCATCCACATATACAATACACATTTTTTTTCATTAAAAAAGTACAGTAATAGGTGACTACAAACAATCCCATACCCATTGTCTCCCAATCCTTATGACACAAGGAAGTTTGATCTGGTCTGGTGGGTGTGGTTTCTTGTGGTTAGTGGAATTTCAGAGCTTTCAGGTGTTACACATATTTTGAAAGCACACAACCTCATGCATCAATTTAAACATTAGAATTATTTTTTAAGTCAGAGTCATTTGGTTGAGTAAAAAAAAATAAATTAAAAAGATTGTATTTATCACATTTGCTCAACTATGTTCATAGCATCATTATTTGTAATAGCCAGAACCTGGAAACAACCTAGATGCCCATCAACTCAAGAACAGACTAAGAAAATGTGGTACATTTACACAATGGAGTATTACTCAACAGTAAAAAACAATGAATCCTGAAATTTGCAGGCAAGTGGATGGAAATAGAAAAAAAACATCCTGAGTGAGGTAATCCAGATCCAGAAAGACAAACATGGTATGTATTCACTCGTAAGTGGATATTAGATGTAAAGCAAAGGATAACCAGGCTACAACCCACAACCCCAGAGAAGCTAGGTAAAGGGGGGGGGCCTAAGAGGGATACACAGGAGGGCCCCAGGAAGTTGACATCTCCTGGGTCTGTGGAGGGGGCGGAAGGTGGAGGGGTGGGGGATGGGAACATGAGGGATCAAGAAGACTTGGGCTGGGAGCGGTACAGAGGGGGAGACCAATGAAAGAGATATCTTGATGGAGCTATTACGGTGTTAGAGAGAAACCTGGTGCTAGAGAAATTCGCAGGAATCCAAAGGATGACCCCAGCTAAGACTCTTAGCAATAATGGAGAGAGTGTCTGAAGAGGCCTTCCCCTTTAATCAGATTAGTGACTGCCCTAATTGTCATCATAGAACCTACATCCAGTAACTGATGGAAGCAGATGCAGTGACCCACAGCCAAGCACTGGGATGAGCTCCTGGAGTTGAGCTGATGAGCAGGAGGAAGGATCATATGAACAAGGCAGGTCAAGACCATGATGGGGAAAACCAGCTGACCTAAGCTGGTGGGAACTCACAGACTATGGACTGACAGTTGGGAGAACCTGCATGGGACCAAACTAGACCCTCTGACAGTTACGTGATTTGATCTGTTGGGGTGGGGGGAGCTGGCAGTAGCACCAGGACCTAACCCAGGGGTGTGAACTGGCTTTGTGGAGCCCATTCCCTATGGTAGCCCTTGCTCAGCCGTGATACAGGGGGGGGAGGCTCAGCTTGGTTCTGCCTCAATTTGGTATGCCTGACTTTGTGGACTCCCCAAGGAGAGCCTTACCCCCTCTGAGGAGTGGATGGGGGATGGGAAGGGAGGGAGAATTGGGATTGGTATGTAAAATGAAAACATTTTTTAAATAAATTAAAAAAGAATGCCTATCAAATAATTTTATTTATATAAAAATCCTAGCAGATTGGTACCAATGATTGCTTGGGGACTAAAATAGTGAAATATGAGGAAGGTGTAGCCAGGGAAAAGAGGGAGAAATTATAAGTCTGGTTATCCTGATGGTGATGATTTCAGAGATTTACTTACCAAACTGTACACTTTAATATGTCAATCACATCCAATAAAGGTTTTATTTTTAAACATCTATTTCCTTGTGATGAGAAAGGGTATACTTTCACTATTTTATGTCTGTATGCATTTCAACATGATGTTGTATATACATTCTCCACAAGGACAAAGAGGCTATCCACTTTTGTTGAAAACTTTCAGTTTATCAGATTCTCTAGGGATCTCCACATGGGCTGTATGTAGCACACCGTCCCCTTCATCACACACACACACACACACACACACACACACACAGTTAAGCAGCCCTTCCTCCAAGGAAAGTAAAAGCTGACACACTAGTACACTAGTGCACACACAGCATGTTCTGCTTCCAGTAGTCTTTGGAATACTGGACCTATCCTTTGAAAAACATGGTTCTGTTCTGAGACTGAATCAACAGTTTGGAGACAATAAGAATTGAGTTCTGTCCTGAACAGTCGGTGGGCCTATATATTGGGGCAACTAAAGCTTTTAATCATTTTCACACCTGAAAACAAAGTCCAGGAAATAATTGAAATGTGATAACATGTATAAAGCTATTTCTTAACTTTTCAATTGTAGGATAGATTTTAAAGTGCAAGAATATTTACCTTATTTCAGAAAACTTTAAAGTGATTTAAGATAATTAAAAAAAAAAAAGAGGGCTGGGGCATGGAAAGTCAGAGTAAATGGGATAGAAATTAAGAACACAGAGGAAGAATGAAGACAATATTAAGATGGCTTAATATTGAGATGGCTTATAGAGTGTGAGTTCTACAACTGGGAGTTCTCAAGTTCAGAATTCAAGAAACAAGTAGAAAAGGCGGTGAAGGCTTAGTAGGGAAGGTGGCACAGAACTCTGGGGATCAGAAGCCAGCAACAGAGAAGACCCATGAAGCTGGAAAACTCAGTTTGTTTTGTTGTTGTTTTGTTTTGTTTTTTCCTGGAAATCAATGTAGGTGCCATTTTCTCCAGCAACATCAGAGAATCAAAGATATAAAAGGCTCTGCAAGGAATACAGAAAGCGCCAAGGGACCGGACAAACTGCAGCTGGAGAAGGCTGCTCTACAAGTGTTAGACGATGAAGAAGAAAAAAAAAAAAACATTTCTGCAAGGAAAATTATAATTCCTATCTCTAAAAAAACAATCCAAAAAGCTTTTCGTTTGCCTCCCTTTAATCTTGCTCATAAGAAAGGAATTCAGTTTGTCTTAGGCACTATGTTGGTGCCTCTGCAGTCACCTGGCTCCTCTAAAGGATTTAATTAACTCACACTGTGACCGTTTCCTTAGGACCAGCATGTGTTAACCATGTCCTTTACTAATCTACCAGATTGTTAACCAAGATCAACCTTTTTCTCATCAGTTTTTTTCTTCTTTTGGGTGAGATGTCCTTTTTAAAGGTTTCATTAACAAGGATAGAAATGAACGCAAGAATTCTGTTCTATCCATTCTAATCCAAATGTCCGTCTCCACTTTCTGCCCCATTATCACCTTCACACTCCAGCCCCTTCCCTCCCCTATTTCAAAGTTGAGGCCTTGAATTTCTGTTTTTGTGACCAGTTTAGCAGAGCATCTCTGTCCTGTAATGACCTTGGATGTCTTCTTTATCAGCTCTTGTTTTTCCTTACTACCAACAAAGGTTGGTCAGTGTTTGCTTTGTTCTCACACTTCACACCATATCAGGTAAATAAAGGCATCCTAACTTGCCTTCTTTGTGCGTCTGGGAGCTTCTCACTTAGGTGCTAACAACTTAATGAATGCCTATTATGTGCCAAGAATGCATGCTAAGGTTGTGTCTCCAGGAAGAGATGGCTACCAAGCATACACATGACTGTATGCAACTGAGAGGGAAAAGTCAGAATTAGCCAAATCCAAAATTGCACTTAAAGTACTAATGTTTTAACTCAGTCCTTGATTTTTTTTCCCCAGTTTCAAAGACCTACTGATAACAAGGATCTTTATTTAGTGTATGTGTTGTTGTGACGATAGAACTGTGTTAGAAGAATGTTTTCATTGATTTCTAAAAAGTTTGCACAAAGGCCCAAGAGGCAGTTTCCCCAACCCTTAAGGCCATGGTTTGGGAGGCCCACTCCCTCAAACAGGAATGTCACTCTGTCCTTCCATGCTTTTATTGATATCAGCAATGGACAAGAATACCCCAGCCCAACAGCTAAGGTATCAGGCAGACCCTTCAGGGCCATTGGCACCTCTAGTCCCAACCTAAGAAAGATCCTGTCTATCCAGGCCATGTCCCTGAATGGGCATGTCCCCGCCTGTCCTGTTTATATGTGTGGATCAGTCTGTCTGAGTGTCTGAGTCGCTGCCTACATGTCCCTCCAATCCTTGGTACATGGTAGGGGTTGTTGGGAACACATCGTGGCTTGCCCCGGTGGACCACAGGACCCCGGTGTTGACCGTGGGAGACAGGGCCAGATGGTGGCAGGGGACCAGGTACAAAGTTCATTCCAGGGCCACATCCTACAAAAGAACCAGTCATTATCAGAGTAAGTTTCTGACCAGATAGCTCTGCTCCTCTGGGGTAAGTTTCTCTGGGCTTTTATTTCCCATCTGCAAAATGGGGATTCTATTTCCCTTACCACCAGACCAGGAACTGTGAGCAGATCAGTAAGTTTACAGATGCTATTCCAATCTGAGGAACTAATGTGACTAAACCCAACTCCCAAGCTCATATGAACACAGGTGGCTAGCACAGGAGGCTGGGGAAGGTGTGAGCAATGGCTATAGAGGCACCTACCTAAGTTAGATGGCATCGAGAAGTCCTCCATTGAATTGTGTTTGAAGATTTCATAGGGTGGAAAGGGCTGGCCTTGGAAAAAGGGGGCATCCTGGTGCAGGGGTGGGAATAAGGGAGGTGGTGAGGGCTGAAGAAGTGGGTAAGGAAAAGACATGGGAGGAGGCAAATGGAAAGGTGGGAGCAGGGGCAAGGCCAGCTTCTCCCTGAAGTCTGGGGGCTGCTTATGGCTTCCCTGGTATGGATGATTCATCTCTGGCCAGTCCTCAATCCATGGGTCTAGGAATGGGATGATTGTGTTAAGTAGATCTGGGAAGTCAGGTTGCCCCCAAATGCTGGCTATCCATACCTCCAGAGCTCTACTCCATCCTCTTGGAGAATAAGGCCAGCAGCTTTCATCATTCCCTTTCACGCAAGCCAAGACTAAGCTGTGTTCCTTTTCTCTTGCTACTCATGTCTGCCTGTGTTCTGACTTCATGCCTGCTCCTGACCAGTGCCTGTATCTTTAGCTTTTTCTTGTTCCAAAGTCCTCCTCATGGGCCAATAAGTTAGTCAAATATAAAGATCCAACTACTCCTCATTTGCTTCTAAACCACCATGGGGAGTATTTTACTGTTTCTTATCATTCATCAACTGGTTATTGCCTGTTTGAACATTTCATGCTTCTTCTGATGCTTTTCCTAAATGAAACTGCCTGACGAACTTAACTCCCTTCTTTCCAATAGTTACATCAACAATACACCGTGTCCTGAAAGCACTCCTCTATTCTTAACCACTGTTGCTTCTCCATCAATCTGTTCTCTGCCAATCCGAAGTGTGAGCACTGCTCTGCTGTCTCCTTCCTAGTTCATATTCATACACCTCTGCTGGGTACTGATGACTCCAAGTGCCTCCATGACATATCAAACAGATCTGCTGCAATCAAACCCACTTGCTCATCTGCCTGCTTCAAATAAGTCTTTCTTTTAACAACCTTAACTTCCTTCCGGCCGCCCCCTTGAGACAAGGTCTCATATCTTCTAGACTGGACATAAACTCACTTTGCTAAGGATGAACTTGAACTTCTGATCCTCCTGCTTCCATTTCCCAAGCATGCACCACCATACCTAGCTATATATATGGTGCTAGAGACTGAACCCATGGCTTCATGCATGCTATCAACCTCAAGCACTCTACCAACTGAGCCACATCTCCAGCTGCTTCCATAGTTCTTAGACAGAATCAGAATCTGTGAAGCACCACAAACTAGCCTTTCAACCTTTAAAACATCCCTTTATTATTCTCTCATTAAGCAAATCAAAGGAAATGGTGCCAGTACATAATCCATTTGAATCTATCTTCCGAAAGTTCCAGCTCCTAGCTACTAAGCTCTAGAGGTCTGCCTTTATTCTAGCTACTAAGCTCTAGAGGTCTGCCTTTATTCCCGGCCTTTCTGTGTCCCCCATAGCTTCCACTGCTGCTACAGACAGCATCTAAGATGACTCATGGCCCCAGTTCATCGAACACTGTGCTCTTGGCATGGAAGTACAGCACATCTGTGTTGGTACTGGGTTGGAGGGGATGAACTATCAACAAGTGACCCAATGCCAGGGCGAAGCAGAGGTAGAAATAAGCCATGTTTCCTTTGCAGGCAGACAGGGACTGAGAGACTAACAAGCAAACACAAGACCTGTAGCAGAGAACATCTCAGCAGTAATGCAATTAGTGTCCCCCAAAAGGCTGGTGGAGTGGGATTCTCAGCAGTGACGAGAATGGGGCTGGTAGAGAATAGCAGTAGGGTGGAACCAGTGAGACTGGGACCCTAAGGCAGAGCTGAGGAGCCTAGGAGCTATTGTCTATTAACCCTATCATCTTGAGATTGACTTGCAAAGACACTGTAGTTACATCGTCTCTGCTCAACAACCTGCTAGCTGGCTGAACCTTTCACTTCTCCAGCTGATGAGTTCTCTTGCCTCTGAGACATTGCTTGGATGCCTCCTCTTCCATATCTGCCATCCACTTCCTATACCTGACACTAGCTAGAGGCATGCTCATTTCTTTTCCATTCACCTGCTGACCAGGTCTTCTGACCCTGCCTTCTGCAATCAGTACTTGCACACTTTCATCCAAGTGCACAGGAGTCACACAGCTCAAGAACTGGAGGTTGAGCAATCATGTGACTCCTGTGATCTAACCATTCCCAGAAGCTGAGAAAGGAACACTCAGGAGCCACAACTATTTTCCTTTTTCTCATTTTGTTTTTCGAGACAGGGTTTCTCTGTATTGCTTTGGAGCCTGTCCTGGAATTTGCTCTGTGGACCAGGCTGGCCTCAAACTCACAGAGATCCACCTGGCTCTGCCTCCCGAGTGCTGGGGTTAAAGATGTGTGGCCACCACTGCCCAGCCTACCAGTTATTTTTCAAGAGATAATCTATTTTCTACAAGTACCCCTGCTGCACTTGGTTCTTTGTGCCTTGTGTGCTAAAGGTTCTATCTACATCACTACCCACCCAATCTGGCAGCTCTTACCTGGGAGTGGGTCATGTTTGGGTAGCTCCACACCCCAAGCATCAGCCACATGGGTCAGAAGTAAGTGTGAGAGGTGGCGGTGTGCATGCTGGTCCCAATGGACACCATCTCGATGCCGGTGATGTACAGCGTGCCGGAAATGAAAGTGGAGATCTAGGACGTCGAAACAGTGGTTCCCAGCTAGTGTAGCACTGTAGAAGTTCCCCTCAACCACATCCTGTCGCAGAGAGACTGCCAGAGGCTGGAGCTAATTGAGAAAGTGGAGCTTCTAAGATGGCCTCCTACCTACCAGCCAGCTACTCTATCCCCTGTCCAGAAGGACCCAATTACTTACCTCTGGCAGGAGGAAACCCCCAGTGACACGTTCCCCCAAAGGCATTGCCATGTTCCACACCAGCAGACAAGAGTCTGGCAAAACCTGGTCCATTCGTACAAACACTCGTTCCAAGTTCTCTCTGTAGCTCTCCATTGGGCAGCGGCCATATCTGTTGGGTAACACTCAGGGTGGGCAAGAGCACAGGAATGGCGCCATACCTCCACCTCCAACCAGCGTTTCCCTTTCCCCCCGCCTGAACCTGGAGAGATCCCAGAGGCAGGAGTTGATGATCACTAGGTCAGGGGCAGGTCCATATGACAGCTCCTTCAAGACGTCCTCAAGGTACTCGGAGTAGACGCGGGTGAGGAAGTAGAAGCGCACAAGGTGGTGGCCAGAGCCAGAGCAGAACTGGCGGACCTCTCGGTACTGAGTCCCGTTGTGTAGCTCGCCCAGCTGGCCCCCAGCCACCAGCTGATCCTGTTCAAAGCTCAGCTCCCCCTACCCGCCCACCCCCACCCCGACAGTCAGATCCATGCCAGGCAGGTGGCCCTTGTCAGGCCACGGTCTGTACCCACCCAACACTGGCATGGCTGCCAAGTGTCTCTCACCTTGGCTTTTAACTGGGAAGCTGTGAGCAGCGTGTCTTTCTGGAGCAGAAGCACCAGGTCCTTATACACAGCTCTCTGGACTACAAGGATACAGGGACCCTAAGGTTAAGGCAGGCCTCATCCCCCTCCCCACCCAGATCCTCCCAAATGAAGGCCTTTTGTTTTTCAGGGTTTGGCTACCCAACAGCAGCTCTATAGAAGGTTGACTTAATGGAAAGGAAAGATGAGATTTAAAAACCCTGGCTCAGGTTCTTTCTAGTCACATGCCTGTCCTCTATGTGTCTTGGCTACAGTGACCCAAGACCAACTGGCACAGCTAAGTTGGCCCCGTCACCAGGGAAACACAGAACATAACCCACAGTTCCTTTTAAGAAAAACCATGGAGGGCTACAAGAGATAAAGATACTACAAGCATGGGCAAAAATGATATGTCAGGACACCCATGAAAGGTATATAGGGAAAAGTCTAGTGTTCTAAAACAGAGTAAAAGATGGAGAAAAGACTGAAATGGAGATACGGGGTGCAGACATAAAGAAAAGGCTGCAGATATAGGGCTGTGAAATGTCATCCTAGAGTGGTCACTCACTGGAGTCCCCCAAAATGACCACGAACTTGTTGTGTAGCAGCTGCTGGACTTCAGAGGCTTGGAAGTGGACCATGGTGCTTCGCAGCAGGCGGTGTGGCATCTCGTTTTCCAAACAGAAGACCATGCTGCCACTGACACCGGCTGCAGGGAGAGGCCACTAGCTGATACAGGGCAGGGACTCAAGGTAGGTCAGTTTGTCCCAAGATGACCGATGCGCACTGGCCCCTCCCTGGCTGCTCCAAGTAACAGAGAGGAGAGTGGGGCCGTATGGCACAGCCCATGATAGTAGCAGCCTTCATCACACTCCGAGGGAAGGTGGAGGGTCGCTGGGACCGAGGGCCTACACTATGGCGCTTCGCGCGCGCGATTCCCTTGCTCCCAGCCACGTGTCAGCGGCGGCCCCGCGCGTGCGCACACGTCCGCTCGCGCCAGTTACCAAGTCTCCGGGCTCCAGGGTTTCATGGGCCAGAAGGGCAGGCCCTGGCGCCACGCGCCTTGCCCGCAACGGGCTCCTGATCTAGAGTCATGTTCCCGCGCCCCTTGAAGGCGGTAGGTTTTTGCAAATACCCTGCCCCACAGAGCCCGGCTGCCCAGGTTAGCTGTAGGTGCGCAGCTCGACGACCAGTGCAGTCCATGCGTACGTCCCGGTGGTCCAGCCAACGCCTCCAGCATCTGAGTTCCAGGAGGAGATGCTCATGGCTCCCACTTCCGGTCACCCATGTCCCTCCCTGCGTGGTTCCCAACGTCGGAGAGGTCAGAAAGACAGCTAGGTTGGCCGCCGTGAAGGATAGGAACCAGGGCAAGGCCCCCGGGCCGGCGTAAGCCCGGATAGGAGCGGAGGGCAGAACGGTAGATATAGCTCAGTGCGCTTTGCCCACAGTGCTGATGGCCGCTATGGTGGCCTCGCCACGTGACCACGACGGGCGGAAGCGGAAGTGCGGCCTGGAGCTTGCGCCAGGCGGTGTTTCCTCGGCGCCTCTATCCGCCAGCTGTGCCAGACATGGACTGTTACACTGCGAATTGGAATCCACTAGGGGACTCTGCCTTTTACCGGTGAGCCGCCCGCCGCCCCACCTTCTCGCCCTCTGCTCAGCTTACCGTGTTTGTTGGCTGGTTTGAGCCTCCTCTGGCGGAGCCAGCGGCGCTCGCCCCCCGGTACCTACGGGTGCTGGCGTCCGCCCCTCCAGCTGCTCGCCCGAACGCCTGCCACTTTACGCACGGTTGCCTAGGGGCAGCAGTCTGGTCCTTCCTCTGCTCCAACGGAGGCAGAGTCTGAAGGCACCCCAATACTGAGGTCTGTCGGCCTCAGGAAGGATGCTCAGATCAGGATGAGGGAGGCCGCCCGCGGCGACAGCGAGTGCCAGTCTCCTTCCGGAAACTGCTGCTGAAGTCAGACCACAGGGGCTCTCAGAGGAGGGCGGGATCCCCACAGCGGGCGGGGTGACAGTACTGACCAAAGCTGAGAGAAGGGGTGAATAGCCATTCAGCCTTGGCGCACTAATGATGGAAAACCCTAGGCATTGGCAACTCACTGAAGTTGGAGAGCCCTGAGCAGTGGGTCTTTATCAAGTCTGAACTAGTAAAGTGATTACAATGGTTAGCCTCTAGTTGACTTAAGACAAAGTACAAACTGCTTGTGAAACATACATCAATTGGTCAGCCTCTATTTGTCTCCCTGAGCGGCTTCCAGTTTGATCTCCACCATCCCCAAATCGTATTCCAGCTGCACAGTTTTGCAGGACGTCATCCCATCTTGCAATTTCATGGTTTTCTCTGTTTTCACAGCCCTACAATCCCTTTTGTGGGTATTGGTACTTCCCTCTTTATCACACTGAAGAACTATTGCTAGTCTTCAGGACCTCCCTGGTCTTCCTACAGAAGAATTCTTTGTGCCTTACAGGGTTCAGTTGTAGAGTCTTATATGTGGCAAATGAGGACAATATTTGTATGGGTTTCTTCTGCTGAGCTCCTTGAAGGTTAAGAATATCTATTTCCCATGCATATCTAGATCAGTGCCTGTTACCTAATAGTTGTCCAGCCTGTGGTGTCCCATGCCTCTAATGTCAGCACTCTGGAGACAGAGGCAGGTGCATCTCAATGAGATCCTGGCCAGCCTGGTCTACATAGTCAGTTCAGGCTCTCCAGGGCAACATAGTAAGACCCTGTTTCAAAACAACAACACAGAAACAAACAAAATCAAATAGTTGCCCAGCTAGTTGCAAAATTGCAAAGAATATTTATTGATGTACTTGCAGATCACAAAGACATTGCATTGGTGTCCTATTTCAATAGAAGACACTGCTTCTGCCAGCGAAACTATTTACCATTCTCATAGCCAGACTTTTAAATGAAAGTCTGTTGTTTGCAATGTGATGTGATAATTTTTAGAGATCTGTTGCATTTGTTTATTTATAATTCCCCTTAGACACATGCACAATATGAAAAATGGAAGACTTAGTTGAAAATCAACAGGAACTATTAATGATTTCACCCATTGAAAATACTCATGAGCAGAGTGTGGTGTCACACTCATTATCCAAGCACTTGGGAGATGGAGGCAGGAGGATCAGGTTTAGTAACTCATCAGTTTGTACTTTATCATAGAAAGAAAGTCAGCAAGACACTAACTACTGACTATAGGCATACATTGGAGGTCAGCCTGGGCAAGATGAGACTCTGTTCTAAAATACATATTTAAAAAATTAAAAAATAATATAAATAAAATATTAACTATTTTTTAAAGTACTTTTAAATCAGAGCATAGAAGACAATGACCTAATTGCAACAGACCTCTTGCTGTTTATTGTGTGAAGTCTTAGCTTCATGGATGCATAACTTTTCAAAAGAAGTGTGTGTCATAGAAGTGGCTAACTTCCCATTACCTATGTTGAACTATAGAAATGGTTAGAAGTGTTAAGTGTTGCTGGAGATGATACATATGTCCTAAGTTGCTAACGAATAAGACTTTCTTATAAGCTGGATACTATGTTAAGTACTTTATGTATAGTCGCTTAAATATCCCACCACATAGAATCAGGATTATGATTTATTCCAACTTACTGGTGTGGAAGCTGAGGGACAGAGAGTCCAGGTTAAATAACTAAGTGGTTCTTTAAGTGGTAGCACATGCCTTTAATCCTGGCAGAGGTAGGGGATCTGTGAGTTCGAGGCCAGCCTAGTCTACAGAGTGAGTGAGTTTCAGGACAGCCAGGGTTACACAGAGAAACCCTGTCTTGAAAAGCCTCCGTACCTCCCCAACTCAAAACAAAACAAAAAACCCAACAGGTAGACTCTTTGTGCCAAAACATTGATTTTTTTTTTTAAATCTTACATTTTGTGTGTGTGTGAGTGTGTGTGTGTGTGTTTGTGTGAGCATGTGCATGTGCTTGAGAGCCACAGCAAATGTGTGGAGGTCAAAGGACAACTTGTAGGAGGAGTTGGTTCTTTCCTTTCCACCAGATGGGGTCTGGGTATTTGAACTCAGGTCTTCAGGCTGGCATCAAGTGCCTTTACGAAGCTGAGCCCTCTCGGCCCAGATTTTTTTAAAACAGGAAAATCCAAAAGCATTTTCTAGTTTATTCACCATTGTGAAAATGTTTTAAGGATATGTGCTCAGTCTCATTCATATCCTCATCTAGGACTCAGTCTTTGATTCTAATAAGTGAGTGAATGTTGAACAAGCGGAGCTGTTTCACCTGTGTCCCGTCTGTAGGGCAGGAGTCTTTGCATTGGGTTAGTTTTCTTAAGAACTTGCTGGATTTGAAAGGTAAGGATGGCCAGAGGGTGGTGGCACGTGCCTTTAATCCCAGCACTTGGGAGGCAGAGACAGGTGGATCTCTGTGAGTTCCAGGCCTACCAAATGTTAGGGATATAAGCATGTGCCACTGTATCTAGTTTATCCAGTACTGGGGGTTGAATGCAGGCCTTCATGCATGCTAGAAAAGCATTCTACCATCTGAGCTAGTTTTCTAGCCCTTTATCTGAACCATATTTTAAGTACTGTTCAGAAGTATTGAGTATATTCAGAAGTATTGAGTTTAATTTTTTTTTTCATCTAACAAAACTGAAAGTCTGTGCCTATTAAATAGCAATTCCCCATTAAACAAGTACTCCTCTTTCTCCAGATTTGATTATTCTAGGTAATTCATGCAAGTGATGTCTTTTTGTGACTGGATTATTAATATTATCATGTCCACAAGGTTGATGTTACAGCATGTGTCATAATTTCTTATTTTCTCAGGCTAAAAGATGTTGTTGTATGTACATCTACATTTTCCTTATCCATTCTGTTGGTAATACGAATGGGCAGAATGGAAGACAGCCTCTCAGAAAAGCTTACGGGTGGTACAGATTTCATAGGGACAGGCTATGCACTCAATGGTAGAGGCTAGCTACATTTTTCTTCTCTATACCCAGGCCCCAGAAATAGAAATCTTGTCAGCAGCAGTAAATGGACCCTGGATCTGGATTCTAATACCAGGAAACCATTAGACAGACATAGCAACGTTGCTGTCACCCCTATGCTGTAGAGAATAATGTTCCCATAAATACACACACACACACACAGACACACACCTACCTACCTACCTACCTTTAAAAGGGCTCATTGAGTACATGCTTAGTTTGTGGGAGGAAATGCAAGGAATGAACGAACAAAAACTCTCTTTCAGACTCTGTTTCTGTTTTACTTCTTCTGGATTATATCCAGAAATAGCATTACTGGATTGTCTGTTAGTTCTGTTTACATTTTTAGAGCTGCCATACTGTCTTCCCCAGCATCAGCTGCACCATTTTACAAACCAGATGCAGCACACAAGAGTCCCTGAGTAGCATTTAGTTTTGAGTTAGTTGGAGGCAAGGGATTTTGGAAATGATAGTGGCCCCCTTAGGGATCTACTGACTGTTGCATTGCTTCCTACTGTTAGACCTGATATACTTACTCCTGGGGCTTCTCTGCTCTGGCTTTTTGCATACAGGGTGCTTTTCACACAATGGGGGACAGTGCTTCCCCAGAAGTTTACCTGCACAGCCAGAGGGACTTCTTTATTGATTACTGCAGGGGCTGGATGGAGGCTTCCAGAAATACTAAGTTTCATAGTTTCCCAGATTAGAGTCTGGGATCCATTTACTGCTGCTCAGGAGATTTCCATCTCCGAGATGTGAGAATGGAAGAGAAGGATACAACTAGTCTTGTACAGTGAGGGCTGGCCTACCTTCATGGAAGCTTTACTCTTAGGCTTTCCTGAGAGGCTGCCTCCTGTTCACCATGCCCCACCCAAGAGGCATAGCTTGTGTTGCCCCCAAGAACACCATCTACCGTGAAGTCTTTGGGAGGTGATCCATCTATTGCTGCTTTTCTCTCCCCCTCCTCCTCTTGCATGCCCTTTAGTTCTTTACCAGTCACTTCCTCCTGCCCTCATGGTCTTTGTAGTTACTGAATCCCTAGACCATTCCTCAATGATTGTGTGGAAGCTGTGGCCCAATGGCCTCCTGTACACCCCAGCTCTTGATGCCTTAGAGGGCATCATAAGTGAGCACTTGGCTTCACAGTTCCAGCAATTTGAATTCATGTGATTGTATATCCCCTCCCTGCCTGTCTCACCCCACTCCAGTGCATGTCCAGAACTGCTCTACCTTTACAGTATTGAATTCAGACAGCTTTGAAACCCTCTCGGGCATGTAGAATCTTCTACAGACATTTTTCTCCCTGTCTATGTAGGACGACACTCACTTAATTTTTATTCTTGTCTTTTCTCTAACAACCTTATTCTTTTGTCCTGTGCCATACCTGGCTATATAGAACCATCTCCTTGTACCTGTGCCAAGGCTGCAGAGTGCTAATGGGAAGGTTACATGGTGGGCAGGTTGGGACTACTACAGACTCGTGCTCCCAATTTTATCTGAGCACCTATGATCTTGTTTTGTGGAATCATCCTATATTCACCATAAAGATGCAATGTGTAAAAGATTGCATGATGAAGCAATTGAGAATTATTGAGATATTTTAGAAATATTAAGAATTAAAGTTTTCTTGCACTTCCCCCTATAATTTC